GAAAAGTGTCGATGCGCCTTACATTGAGATATTCTCGGTACAGCTTCTGTTGTGTTGGGCTGGAATAAGGTAATTTTCATTACAGAGAACTTTGTGGCTGTTTGTTATGCCAAATATGGTCGCGGTCAGTGCCAGGCATGGATGCAAGAATGCAGAATAACAAGTTCACCAGCACAGTTGACTGACTCAGAGCGAAAATGCATGGAAAGCAGTGAGTGTATTACATCAGTTATGCTTGGTAGAAATCAGTAGACGAACTAGAACAGACAAAGTTGATGAGCAATAATTTTGCTGGTAATTTGGTACTGATTATTCGTTCATCCGTACAACGTATCGCGAATTGATTTTGTTTTCCATCTGTTGATCGTACTTCATGAAACGGCAATTGATACAAAAAATTAAATGGAGAAAAGGCCGGACTGAATTGAAAAGTTCCCAGAAAACGATGTTTATCATGAAGCTTATAGGCATGTTCATTTCAATGTGTTACAATGATTACGGTGCTCAGAAATGCCTCGGCTGGAGTAAGATTTGTAACGCAGTTGATGCGTTCGGAAAAATAAGTCTGGGAGACTCCGGGAAAGACTGTATGAGAACACGTAAGTCCGCGTTATTAAGGATTTGTCAGCTGTGAACCAACAATAGGCCGTCCAAAAATGCAAATCTTGTAGAGCATATTCAGACTGTTGTCTAGCAATGTAATGTTTACTCTGTTCTTTGTCATGAGCAAGCGATTCTATTATGAACTGCTTGAGTATTTCTTATAATACCAGAAGATAACAATTGTTCGATTGCTAGAAAATCGGAGATGAACCGAATGATTCACGAAAAGTTAATTGTCTCAAAAAGAGTTCTACTGAACGAGCTATGAATCAATGACAACATAAGCGCATCCATCAGTCGATAAAATGTGTTGATCAAGTGAACATAAACGAATGGTCTCTCTGACACTTGTTTTCGCATATTCATTGTCAGTAAAGTGAAGTGAGAGCATTGCGAAATATCTTTGCGCTAAGTCTTCAATGTAGTACAGTTCGTTTCAAAAGTAGTAAGTCAGCGAAGAAACCTTTATTAACTTCAGAATGGGTATTGGCAACGTGCAAGCCTTTGCATGGTCAGGATATATGTAACCGTCTGGAAGCAGTTTGTTGCTCAATCCACAATAAAGCCCTTCCTACTGATGCAGTTCATATACTTCCAATGAGCGTGACCAAGTGCATATCATCAGGTTATTTCTGTCATTATTGGTTCCATGCTGACAGTTTTCACGAATTCAATGTTGACGAATTTCGTTTTGCCTCCTTTACTGGACACCGTAATAAAATTATCGAAACGACGATAATCTACTGAATGGATCTGTTTTACAGGAGACCCGATAATCATGTGTAAAGCCAAATATGGTCCAGTGTATTGCAATCGGCTTGGAAGTGCTTGCTCTGAATTGACTGGCATTCCTATTCCAGAGCAGATGGCTGGGAACATGTATAAGCTACCAGATCGCATTCTCACCTGCGTAGCTTCAGGTATTATACTTAATTTGCTGTATGCTTAATTGTTTGAACTGAACAAACAGAATGAGCCACGTCAACCACTGGTTATCAGTTCATCCTGACCTCATGATTGCCTGATTATGAAGGTTCGGTTTAGTAACTGTGAGCATAAGGTGCGAAATTTTATGGTAAATCGTAATTTTATGTTCACATCGTTTCGTTCAACATTCATCATTTCGCCTGTCAAACGAGCACTTCAATGAACGTTCATTCAAAAAGTGCAACTACTTATTGCTAGCGATTTGCAGCAGTTTTGAAAGCGATTGTTCATTACAGAGTACTTCATGGCAATTTGCTATGCTAGATATGGTGCCGATGAGTGCAATGTGTGGAAAAAAGAATGCAATGTTAAGAGTCCAGTAGACAAATTGACACCTGACGAACAGCAATGCATGGAAAGCAGTAAGTTCTTGCGATACATAGTCCACCGCATTACTTACAACCAGTCAAAAGCCTGAAATAACTTATTGCTAACAATAGGATCATAAAACTAATTCAATTACTTTTACGCAAACCATTTATCAAAACAGTCCAGTTTTTTGTAGAATTACGCATGAGTTCGAACAGAGTTTGCTAATATTTTATTTTTTCATCATCCAGAAAGGTTCGTCGGATATTGCTATAAGAAGTACGGTGAGAACAAATGCATTGCATGGAGCAAAATATGCAAAGTAGAGGATTTCAGTTCAAATGCCATAATGAGCGAAAATGATATGAACTGCATATTAACACGTATGGTTTTCCAACTTTTTATGTGCCATGAACGGTTGTTAAATGGTTTTTCATAAGATATCATTAGTCTCGCTGTCTTGCATAGGAGAAAACGAAGGGATCAAAATCAGATTATTGTACAAACTGCGAGGAATATCCAATCCTATCAAAAGATCTCTTGAAAAATTAGTTCGATCCAATCCTATCAAAACAGTCTAGTTCTGACATAATTTTTTATCTAGAATCTAAAGTGTTTATGATTATTGCGCAAGAGCCTATCTATTTCAAGCCCAGTAAGTTTAAAACTCCGCTCACATAACTCACAACCAATTACTTAAACGAAGCTTCCTACCTATTACACTTAAATGAGTAAAAATTTCGAATTGGTTGCTAAAATGAATAACGCTGAATCATCGAGAATCACTGAAGAATACCTATTTCAGAACGAGTACTGCAAATATGTTTATCAACATACGGTCTAGAATTTTGTACTAAGATAGAAGCGAGCTGCATTGCGAAAGTTGGCCTGATTTTTCCAAATGACCCTGTTCACATATTACCAGCTAGTGTGACTGATTGCATATCTTCAGGTTTGTTTGTTAATCAGATTCATAAAATTACGTGAACTGAATTCACATAAATAATTAATGTTCAGTTTAACCAAGATTTTTGTTGGTGAGATTTTGTGTGGATTCTCAATCAGTTTTCTGCTGTGTTCCCAAATATGCTTTCTCCGAATCATCGTTCATTACTTCGTTGTGGTGCCAGAGTGATTTATCACTGTATTTTTCCCACCCATCGCCTTACTGACAAAATTTTTTCTTATTTAACATAAATGAATATATCCTTTTGGATGTAACTATCGACGGAAGGATATCTAACATAGACATTGATTTTAATTGTAGGCTATTTTTTCTTTGTGGATATAGGTAGAAAATTTTGAAAGTTATCGACACTCATTGATTTGGACGTCCGATTTTGGTGATTCCATCTGATTGATTTCAAAGAACGATTGTTTAGAAAATACATTGCAGCTGATGCCGTATTCATTTGCAATGCAAAGTATGGTTCTGCTTTCTGCAGCAGACTTGGAGCTGCTTGTTCAGAGCTCACCAATACACCCATTCCTCAAGCGACAGTTGGCGTTGAATACACATTGCCGAGCGCTATCCTCAGTTGCATTGCATCTGGTATCAAAATTCAGTTGTTTCCATTCTCAACCAATAGAACACATATTTGGATACCTTTTCTTCCGCTATACTCTAACTGAAAGATCGACAATTTCGATGCCAATTATTTACCGTCTCGTATTTCATTCGGCGTAGAGGAATGATTTTGCAATTCAAATCCTCTGTTAACCATGAAGTGAAAGCTGTATTCCGTAACCGATGCACCTCATTTTGAATAGCCATGGAAATTCTGTCAGTTATAGTCAAGCGCTGGGAAGCGAAATATAATTTGACGATCATTTTAAAATTTAAACATATACTTCCAGTTCAAGTCATCCATATGATGCCCTGTTACCACATAGCAAGTGTAATAACAACTTACCATTAAATACAAACGAATTAGAGCGATTATCCGTGTAATGAGCGCCATAAGATCTTTCGGAAATTCTCGCATCTTCAGCCTCGGAAAAAAGCCTCATGATGTTACTCTTGCTTGGTCGATGTTTTTTTTGAAGTTTATCAAAACTGAATTCCAACCTGCTTTTAGTTGCAACCTTTCAAACACTTTCAGAGCAACCGATGGCAATGTGCATCGCAACATACGGTGTTGATTCATGTAAAAAACTAGAGTGGCGTTGCTACAAATTAAGCAATATGCCGGTTGTTAACAATCAGCCCGCTGCCTTGAGCGAATTACCACCGGCTATAGAAATCTGCATTAAATCAGGTCAGCAACCCATCTTTATTGAATGAATTGAGAACGGTGCTATCTCAGTTCCAATGCACGACTCGAGAATATATAATTTAACAAGNGCAACAAACAGCACTTTTGCAGAGGTCGCTCTGGATTCATGTGCAGCTAAATATGGCAGGCAATTCTGTAAGAACATGGAGACGTCGTGTGATGCAATGCTCGGAGTAAGTGTTTCCGGTGATGGTGACCATGTTTTATCAACGCTCGTAGTCAAGTGCATAACATCAGGTACTTTCATAACTTCACTGAGTCAGTTTTCCGAGATGGTATATGAATGTGCGTGATAATACAACTGCTTGTATAAAAACTCAATTTCGCATTCATCTATTTACGGTTTCTGAATGATTGCTTATATAGTTCAGAATTTTCGGTTCTTCCAGAGCATCCTTTGGCAGCATGTAGAGCGCAGTTTGGTGAAGAATTTTGTGACAAACTCATGATGCGATGTTACAAGATCCAAAATGCACCATTCGTGAAACCAAGACCAGGAACATTATTTGAATTACCATCGTCAATCGCGATTTGCATTGTATCAGGTTGTCATTTCGATTTTGTTATTTCGTACCACACTCGGTGCGATTTACTTTCGACGTCTGTAGCTGTTTCAAGTGTGCAAGATGTAGGTGAATTGCAGAAAACATTCCAGAACACATATCGCATT